ACTTATTGTGAAGACATAATAGACATCAGTGTAACGGCATGGAGAGCCCAGAAATAGACCCACATAAATACATTCCATTGATCTTTGACAAAGGAGCAAAAGCAATCTAATGGAGAAAAGATAGTTGTATTAGTCAATTTTCTGTCACTGGGACAAAATAACCCAACACTCACAACTTAAAGGAGAAGTTTATTTGGCTCATGGTTTCCAGTGGATTCATTCCAAAGTCAGCTGGCTTCAAGGCAAAAATGGATGATAGGAGGGCATGGTGGAAGAAAAGTGTTCAACTCACAGCCAGGAAAAAGGGGGCAATGAGAGACAGAGCGAGCAGAAACTGGGGATAAGAATACGTGACCCTCTTCCCACCAGGCCCCAACCCCTAAACAGCACATTCAGCTATGAACTCATCAATGGGTTAATCCACTGATATATATAGCAGTCCCGTGATCCAATCCAAAAGCCCCACCTCTGAACACATGAGACTCTGAGGGACATTTTAGATCTAAACCATAATAAGTCTTTTCTTTTTTTCTTGTTTTGTGGCGCTAAGGATCAAGCCTTGTGCATACTAGGCAAGCACTCTGTCACTGAACTACATCCCCAGCTCAAAATCATCTTTAACAAATGGTGCTGGAACAAACAACTGAATATCCATAAATAAAAAAATAGACAATAGACCCTCCACAAAAATAACAAAATAGATCATAAACCTACATATAAAATGCAGAACTATAAAATTTCTAAAACATAGCATTGGAGAAAATCAAGGTGGTATTGACTTTTGATATATAATACCAAAAACATGGTTCTTGAAAGAAAGAATTGTCAAGCTGGATTTTAATTAAAATTTCTCCAGAAGCTAGGGAGGAATGGAGGGGTTGAAGGGAGGGCTGGGCAAGGGTGAAAAATAAGAACCAAGAGAGACTATGTAAAGGTGCAAATTTCCAATGATGAATATCATTATATTGTATACCTAAAATGTACCAATGATTAGAATGAATAATCGATAATGCAAAATAGGAAGAAAAGGTCCAAAGGGGTAGGGGTAGTGGGAGGGGCAGGGGAAAGGAAAGAAGGGAAAGGAAAAATGCTGAGAAATGGAAAAAATGGAAATAAAGTCTTTGTAAATAGGGAAGGGTGGAGGGGATGAAGGGAGGGCTAGGAATGGGGGAAAAATAAAAACCAAGATGCATTATGTAAAGGTACAATTCCCAATGAGAAATGTAATTGTGTTGTATACCTACAATGTACCAATAAAAGAATTTAATAAAGTGCAAAAAAAAAAAAACTTCTCCAGAAGATATTGTCAAGAGAATTAGAAGATAAGCCATAGACCAGGAAAAAAAATTTGTAGAAGATATGTTTGATAAAAGATATTTAGTACTTGACAATAAGAAAACAAAAAAATCCAATTTAAAAATGGGCAAAAGTTCTAAACAGGTATCACCAGAGAAAATACAGTGAGCAAATAAGCATATTTAAAAGTTGTTCCTTCCATATATTTCACCAGGGCAATGCAAATTAAAATAATGAGATGAGACTTCACCCCTATTAAAATGGCCAAAATCTAGAACACTGACAACTTGGAATGCTCATAGACAGAGCAACAGGAATTTAGGTTTAGTGATGGTGGGACTGTAAAATGATACAACTTTGGGTAAGAGTTTAGCAGTTTCTTACAGAACTAAATACACTATAGGATTCAGCAATTGTGTTTATTAGTAATTACCCAAATCAGTGGAAATCTTATGTCCACACAAAAACCTGCTCATGGATGTTGATAGAACCTTTATTTATAATTGCCCAAATTTGGACGCAGCCAAAATTTCTTTTAGTAGATGAATAAATTGTAGTGCATCCACACAATGGAACACTATTCAGTCCTAAAAACAAATGAGCTTTCAAGCCATGAAAAGATATGAAAGAATTTTAAATGCTTATCACTAAGTGAAATAACCCAGTCTTAAAAGGCTACACACTAAATGGTTCCAATTACATGATATTCTGGAAAAGGCAAAAACCATAGTGACAGTATAAAGATCAGTGGTTGCTAGGGGTTATGAGAAGGGAGAGATGAACAGGCAGTGCAGAGAATGTTTAGAGCCCTGAAACTGCTCTATATGATACACTACCGATAGATATAGGCCATTATACATTTGTCCAAACCCATAGAATGTAAACATATAACACCAAGGGTGAAGCCTAATGGAAACTAAGGACTTTGGGTAATGATGCTGTGTCATTGTAGATTCATTAATTGTAACAAAGTTACCGCTTCCGGACAGCATGTTGATAGTGGAGAGGGGCTATACACAGGGACTCTTTCTGCTCAATTTTGCTATGAACCTAAAACTACCCTAAAAAATAAAGTCTACTTAAGAGGAAAAAAAATAAAATGGATATTTTAAAAAGATATAAATTCATATTGACCTTCCTCATTCTGGCCTAAATATCTATTTCTAAAAGAATATTGATCAGTATTTTTGTACATTATGAGACTATTATGTAAAGATATTTTCCATAATAATTTTGATATAAAATCATTTAATTCAGAGGAATGGGGGCAATCTTTAAACAAAAATATGTGTTACAACTGTCCAATTGTGTAAGCAAATCTTTCTCTTTAGTATTATGTGTTGTCATATCGACACATTAGCTAGAAAAAACCCGCTAAACCAGAACCAAGTAGTTCTGTTTAACTGTAAGCTGCTTTGCATATTGTCACTAAAAGACCTCCTATAAATCAGATTAAGTCTGACTCAGCCCGAAATACAGCATCTTGAATGACAAAACTCAGGTAAGAGACACTTCTCAAAAATGGCCAGTGGGAGAGGAATAAAAACATGATTTTTAAGAAAATCCCTAGGCTCAGTGATAAATGGTAAATTTTATCAATAATCTGATTATTCCATTACCTTAAATATCAGTTATCACGCTATAATGAAAGATCCAGATTCCACTGGTGATTAAATCACCTGGAGGAATGGGACGCATTTTTGGTTTGGAAGTTCAGGACCTCCAGGTTCTGGCTCCTGCTCTGCTACTCGCTTGGCATGGGAGAAGAGGGTTTCTCAGCTTCCCCCCACCTCTACCACTCCATAATTCAATTATGTGTGCAGTAGAAGCTTTTTGGTTTTGACATGCCACATATATTTCTTAATGTATTAAAGTAGAAGCTTTTATGCTCAATAGAGTATCAAGAATCTCTTAGGATTTTATTATCAAGACATCATTATTTCTCAGAAGAGCTCTGAGATAGAAACCTGAGATTTTCCCAAGGTGAATGTATTAGCCGTGCATACATCTAGGACCTCAGAGACCTAGCACTAACAATGTGTGTTGCTTCTTTTAAAATTGTTCTCAGTTCCTAACAAACACATATCTAGACTCCATTAAGCTTCCTATCTTGATTATCTTCATTGCTGCAATTTTTTCCATTCTCTAACTCTGTTGTTTTATGGCTACATTTTCCTTCTTTGAATAAATATAACATGACCATCTTTAAATGCTACTACATTGATTGGTGGACTTACTGGAAAGGCCTAGTAGAAAAAGTTGCTTATCATTGTGTCTCCGGAGACACCATGCTCTTTTTCCAAAAGTTATGCAATCTTGTTAAAACCTAAAATCGTAATTTCCTGTGGCATATACACATTACTCAGATTTCATCTGGGTCATGATTTACAATATTATTTAAGTTATCTTCCAGGTGAAAATCATACCCAAAATTATAGTTTTGCATTATTGATTTTGATGCCATCTGCTTTATTTTTGGGGAACCTGTTGTTAATCAAGTCCAGCTTGTTAGCTGTAGGTGAAAATAAAGCTGTCATTAAAAATGCAGTAGTGCAGGCTCTATGTCCATCTGCCATCATTTTGCAGCCTCCGCTATACGTGTCCCCTTATCTCTTACCCTTTGGAATTCCTGGCTTGGGAATTTCCTAACTAGTTTCTCTCAGCAACTTTCCTTTTGACAGAAACTTGGCTAGTTTTTAATCTCCTACAGATTTTTGTTTTATGTTAGTTATTTTAGGTCATTTTGACAGCAATTTGGAATCTCTCATTCCTGATTCTCTCTGTTTGATTTTTAATTACTTCTGTCCCACTTATCTTTTCCTCCCCTGCCCCTTTGTAGGAAGAGCTTTTCCTGGCATTGACTCCTTCTCCAGCCCGACTCCCTATGACTCATAACCCTCCCCACTCCTCACCCTCATCCCCCACGCCCTGCAGATTTTCTGTTTCTATATTTCTTGTCATTTCAGCAGCCACACTCAGGCTTTTACACAAAAATTGGAACACACTTGAGTTCTGATCTTGGAGTCCACACCTCCCAGGATATAGCAGAACCTGCAAAGTTCTTGCTGTGCTCAGATAGAGAAACCAGGGCCAGCACGACCTAATCTTGCCCATAAATTCAGACTACTTTTGGGAGTATTTGTTTTGCCTCTTTTTTATTAACTGCTACTATGTTTAAAGAACCCCTCAGAGAACAACCCCTCACTCCTAAAGATATTAGGAGGAAAAAAACCCCAAAACCTTGAGAGATTAGCAGAAAGCTACATATCCTTATTTTATGGAGATCCACAGTTAGACTTCAAATTGCTTTTCCTTTTCCATTTTAGATGTGTTCTTCAGATCTCAACAAACTGATCAATATTTTTATTCTCCAGTGTTAGGAAAAATAGAAACCACGTTTTCTATAAGGTACTGAGAAAGGGATGCTACTACACAAGTATCCATCTGTGAAGAAAGGAAAGAGAAAAAGAACTGTTTGTGCCATATATATATATATTTTTTAAAAAATTTAATCTTCACAACTGCCCTGTAGGATTGTTAATATCTCAAGTGGATATAAGAAACAGCTGAGGCTCGCAGAGGTTAAGAAATTTGCCTAAGGTCACAGAGCAAGGAAAGAGTAAAGCCAAGACTGAAATCTATCTGAAAAAAAAAAAAATCCTCCTCTACACACAGGCTATTATATGTAACCCACTCTACTTTTTTGAAACAAGCTCAGAAACTAGTCATCAAAGCATAAAGTCTTTAAAGTGTTGATCTCTAAGAAAGAAGATCATACCTACTCTCTTGATCTGGCCAAATTAATGAACTTGGTTATATTTCCAGGTTAAAAAGGAAATGATGGACAATAGAAGCCACTCTAATCCTCCAGACACATTTCCTGTCTTCTCTGATTCTGCCCACTTGCCACTACCCAGGTCCTTCTATCTGGACCCCATGGTCACTTTCCACTTGTACCCTGAGGCCCAGGTGCCATCTGCTTACTCTGAAGAGCTGCCATTGTTGCCTTTTCCCAGTGACTCCCTGATCATGGAAAATTATGGTGAACCCTACCCCTTCCCTTTCCCAATGCCTTACCCAAATTTCAGAAGATGCGAATACTCCTATGGGCCAGCCTTCATCAGGAAACGGAATGAGCGGGAAAGGCAGAGAGTAAAGTGTGTCAACGAAGGCTATGCCCAGCTCCGACATCATCTGCCAGAGGAGTATTTGGAGAAGCGACTCAGCAAAGTGGAAACTCTCCGAGCTGCAATCAAATACATTAACTACCTGCAATCTCTTCTGTACCCTGATAAGGCTGAGACCAAGAATAACCCTGGGAAAGACTCTTCCCTAATGGCAACTTCCAGCTGCCATGCTGACCCTATTTTTAGAATTGTTTGAGTCAGTATTTCCAACAGAAAGAAATAATTTCACAAAATGAGGGGACAGGTGTGAGAAGCTGCCAAAAAAGCACAAAAAGTCTGACAAACGACTACATGATCCTTGTCCTGTACTTTGTAATCACTTCTTGCTAAGTGATCACAATGGACCTCCCTTGATTTGTCAAAATTACAGTTGCAGAGAAACCATGATGAGAAGGCATCTTAACAAATGTAGTTCACAAAACTTTATTGTTGTTTGAAATTATTTCAGACTCATCTTTGTCCTGTATCTAGACTTCCTTAGCCTGCTTTGTACAGGACTTCAGAAGGCAGACTGCAGATTCTGCCTCAATGTGAAGTATTCCTGTACCTCTTCCTCCTATGTCCTGGTTCTTTGTCTACAAAATAAGAAAAACAACAACTCACCATATGTTTATTATGAGTATTAACTGTGCCTGACACCTAATAAGTATCCATTACCATTTTGGATCATCATGTTTATTGTTAAGAACACTTTGAGCATCCAGACCTTTCCTCACCCCTGGGAAGGAGAATCTGCCTTCACCATTGCTCTTTTTCTATTCCCATGGCTCGCTTCGGCTCTTCTTGACCCTTGACTCCCAGGTCCCATCTGTCACCAAGCCTAGCCAGGAACTCCCTCATACTGTCTGTCACACTCATCTCCACTGTTTTGTTTCTGTGAGGTCTTTCTCAGCTTCCTATCTCAGCCATTACTTGCACCTTTATATATATATTTTTCTTATACTTCCCCTCCTGCTATCCTTACACACTTCACACACCTGGCACTGTCTTTTCAGTACACTGCAAGGTCCTTAAAGCCAGATACCATTCATCCCATATTCCTTGTACCCTGCAAAAAGCCTCAGTTTGGGTAGGTATCAGTAAACATATCCGTGGTTACTGTTTTCCTGTTCCAATCTCATTACCTTGTGTCCGGGTCATTGTTAACCATCTCCTTCTGGCCTCTTGAGCTCTGTTTTCCATTGGCTCCACTCTCACGCTGATGTTCCTTTAAAGCATTTCAGCTTACTGAGTCTTTTCACACTGCCTGATGACCTCCTTTTGACTATTATGTTGTTTAAATTTATCTACTCACTTTTTAAAGCTCCCTACAAACTGTCCTCATCCCAAATAGACACCCCTAGATTTTCCCAGGATACCCAATACCCCCCAAAGAAACTTAGTCTTGCAAATGCATCATTCTATCTGTGCTCTTGCTTTCTTCTTTTCTTTCTCTCTCTCTCTGGTTTTTTTTTGTTGTTGTTGTTAGTGGGAATTGAACTCAGGACCTTGCACTCGCCAGGCAGCTGCAACACCACTGAGCTACATCCCCGGCCCTCTTTGCTCTTGTGTTCTACCTAAACAGGAATATTCTGTTTTTCCCTTCCACCACTGGCTTATTCAGGAATCATTCTCTCTTTGCCAGATTTCCTTAGTCTTTCTTAGATTCTGAATTTGTGTACCAAGTAACTAATCCATTAAGGTTTATGGCACCATTGCTCTGCTGACTACAAGGTTATGCTCTATGAGGAAAGTCAGCACCTAAGGTGCTTTCATTGCAAGAAAGGGAAAACACAATCCAAGTCGGCATAACCAATAAAGGAAATGTATTGCCTCATGTAACTGGAAGACTCACAGCTATTGCCAACAATCTGTTTTCCCTCGGCCTGTTTTCTTTAGGTCTATCTTCTCTGGCTTTCTCTGGAAATAGTTTTGTGTTCCAAAAAGGCTATCAGAATCTCTCAGAATTATATGCCTTCTTATTTATGCATAGGAGGCAAGAGAAAGTCAATAAGTCCGAGTTCCCAGCAAAAGCCTCAAGGTTCATTTTGACTGGAGAAGCCTAGAAACATATCATGTGAAAGGAACCCCTGATTCACACACGTTCCACCACTGGACCTGGAGGTACAGCCAGCCTCTCTATCCACATGATGCACAGGCATAGGAACTGGTGGAAAGGATGTATCAGAGACACCCACAAATGTCCCTGCATACTTTTTTGGTATTCTCCGCATGCACAATGACTGTCATATCCTCAAAATACCAGCCTCTATGGGTGTTCAAATAAGAGCAAAGTCCAGACTTCTGTTCCTTTGGCCACACTGTCCACTCCCTGCCCTCCTATTGGTCACCACACCTCTGCTCCTCAGCAGAGTCCAGTCTGCTTCAGACAAATTGTTTTAAACCATGGGCAAATTCTCTTAGAGTCCCTAGGCCTGCCATGGCTCCTCTGTCCCCAGCTGGCCTCATGGCTGCACAGGGTGGAGGCAGAGTCACAGCCCTGAGTCTCTGGAGGAGTCACTTGCCCCCACACACAGGGCTCCCTTGGGATCCATGAGGCTTCCCTCCATCAGTGGCTGACTCTGCTTACAGTAGGGAAACCTCAGCTTTGGGGAACTGAGGGTACACTAGCCTTTACTCTCTCCCTACACCACAACCACCACCACCACCAAAAAAAAAAAAAAAAAAAAATACAATACTTCTCTCCCCTGTGCTCCCAAGTCTCCCAAGGCCTCCTGGCACCCCTCTGCACATGCTCAGTGTTCCCAGGGGCCCACAGTGTTCCCAGCTGGCTTGCATCCATGGACTTGCTTGGCAACCAAGAGTCAGTTGGGCTGAGGCCCTGAGCTCCAACTGTCAGAAGGGGCCAGAGGCTGAGGAGTGGAGGTAGGCTTCATGGCTGTGGGTGAGTCTCTTTGGGGTCAGACCTGTGGACCTGGCAGGGCAGAGCCTAACAAGGGGCTGGTGGGCTAGGGCAGCCAAGTTTGATCATGGGCCGTGGGTGGCCTCTGTCACCTCTGAGCAGGTTGACGGATGCAATGGGCCTGAGGTCTCAGCTAAGTCTGGGCCAGAGTTAGTCCTGTGGGTGGCCAAGTTAGAAGGGGAAGTTTGTCATCAGGCTTACCCTCAGGAGCCCCTCCCCCTAGGGAGGAAGAAGGAGGAAAACCCCAGGGGATCTTGAGCTACTAATCCACAGGCATGGCCTCCCAAGCTGCAGCTGAGCCACAGAAGTTAAATAACCAACCAAGAGGCTGTGACGAAGTGGGATTTCTCTAAAATCACAGCTCCTGCTCCTCCCATTCCTCCCCTGAGCAGAAGTTCCTGAGGCAGATGATCCAACGGGGTCTCTGGGTGTCTGTGGAGCAGGTAGGGTGGTGCCAGGATGTAGCTGGCCCAGAAGTGGCCCATGCAGGCTCTCTCTGCTGGGCTGTAACTGGACTCAAGTAATGATGGTGCTTGTTCCAGGTGGTGTCTTTCTCTGAAGGCCGCACAATCCTCCTGCGGCCCACAATGCCTTTGCCGAAGTACTGCAGCGTGGCCACAACCCTGCAGGCCCCTGGCTGGGGCTGTGCTGCCCTACTGGGGGACCTCTCCTTCGCCTGCCCCTTTGCTCACAGAGCACCTGGGCTCCCCAGGCTCCATGTTCTCACCAGGTACTGGCCTCACCCCTCTTCAGGGAATGGTGCACTCCAAGAAGGAGAGAACTTTATTTCTGGCCTGGAATTTGCATGGGGTAAAGTCTCTTATTCCTGCTTACACGGTACTCCCAGTGACCTCTAGTGACAGGGCTTTGGTTCCTCTTTTAGCAGACCCGCAGCTATGGCAGTTGAGAGAAAGCAGTCAGTCAGGAGCAGTTAAAAGATTTCCAGCTCATCTTACCTTCAACTGTGAGACTTGGAGGGCCAACATACGAGAAATTAGGGTTGTTACTACAGTCAACTAAGCTGAGGTTTCCAGGTCCCTCTTTAGGTTCCCTCAGAAATCGTCCCATATGCATTTTAGCTGTCATCAGGGTTGGGGTTTGTGAGGTCCCTGTCATAGGGAAGGAGGGAGGAAAATTCAATCATATATTGAACTACTTATACTCCAGATGTTTTCCATATATTTTCAGCTGAGTCATAATTCAGCACAGAAGTTAAGCAAGTGTACAGCCAAACAGCCTTCCTTCTAAAATCCTAACCCTATATAACAGTTAAAAGTCCTCAACTCTCCAGGATTTTCTTGAATAGTATCCTCAGTCAGGTGTCTAAAGTACAACCGAAAGAGGGCAAAGGACACAAAGTATAAATAACTCAAAGACGAAAATAAAGATGGATAATAAAAAACCAGGAGATAGACCTTTTGTAAATGGGAAGAGAATCTAGAGATGGATGGGGAAGAGAGAGGAGGAGAAGGGAAAGGGGAAGTAAAAGGGATTAAGATGCCAATGTACATGTACCAGCTCCCCAAGACAAATGTATTCATTGTGTATTGCAATCATGTACTAACAAAAAGGAGGGCAAAGGAACCTCAGCCTACAGCAGATGCAAATTTTGTTTAAATTCTAGGAATCACTTTTGTGTTACTCAGTTCAGTTTGCATGGGTTAGGGACAGGTCAGCCTGGATGGTTTTTAATCGCTCCCTTTCTTGATCAGCCTGTTTGATCCATTCTATTCAAGGCCAAGTTAAGCATCTTTTTTCAGGCTTGACCATGAAACACCTTCTTCAAAAACACAAATATCCACTCTTCAACTCTCTGAGGCCAGCTGGCCCTGCCTGCATACTTCCCCAGACCAGGCCTCTCCTTTTCCTGCCCACAGTTTCATACCCAGCTCCTCTGTGCTGCCCCTTCTCCATCCCTTGGCCCCTGCAGTGCCACTGGCCTTGCAATTTTGCTCTTTTGGCTCCAGGGTCCACATGGTCCAGGATAAGGCCGCGGATCCATGTATACTGGCACTTTAGGACTCACTTCCTGGCACTCTCTCCTGGTCTATCCTTTAATCCCAAACAAGCATTAATTAACTTGAAGGCTATCATGTTTTGGTTCTCAACCCAAAAATGTTGGTTTCCTTCACTGTCCTCACCTTCTGACCTCCCAAAAGTTTACCTTATTTTACCAGAAGTGACACGTTGCCACTTTCCCCATGGATTTCTGTCCCATATCCCACTGAATGTCATTCACAAGTGATGGTGCTTCTCAGACCTAACTGTGAAATGTGTGTATTGATTTTTTTGGGGTTTTAGTGTTTGCCTGTAATTTTGTTTGCTTTTTTCCAGGAATTCTTCGAATCACCCATCTCTCCACATTGCTGACCCAGCCTGGCAGGGCCCGGGCTGGCTGGGAAGAGTTAGAGATCCTGCTAACACCTGGGTCCTGGCAAGGAGGGAACCAGATGGCTTTTATTACCGGGCTCAGATAAAGGCTGCTCCAGAGGCGAGTCCCTAACTCCCAGCATCCTCTGGGAGCCCCTGTTACACATGATTTGCCTTAGTTATGTGTGACCAGCAGTTTGGTTTCTTGGATAAGCACAGATCTGCCATACCCAGATTATAGAAGTGAGCAGGTAACATCAGTGAGTATATTAGTTTGCTCAGACTACACAACAAAGTATCACAACCTGAGTGGCTAAAACAGCAGAAATGTATTGTCTCACATCTCCTGAGGCTAGAAGTCCAGGTATTGGCAGGGTTGGTTCTAAGGGCTCTGAGGAGGAATTTGTTCCATGCCTTCTCTCTTAGCCTCCAGTGTTTGCTGGCAATGTTCTTAGCTCCTCTTAGCATCGCCTAATCTCTGGCTTTGACTTCCCTGTGATTGTGTGTCTGTCCAAACTTTTCCTTTTTATAAGGATATCAATTATATTGGATTAGGGGCCTGCCGTACTCATTATGACCTCCTTAGCTAATTATACCTGCAGTGACCCTGTTCCCAAGTGAAGTTACATTCTGAGTTCTGGGGGGGTAGGACCTCAACAGGTGAATTTGGTGGGAAGGAAGACACAATTCAACCCAGAGTGTTCAGGTAAATCCAGTGTGTTGGATTATGGATAACAGCCTAAAAGAAAGGGCAAAATGTGCCTGCCCACATGCACGTGAGCTTGCTCTGCAGAGATGTTTGCTCCTGGCGCACCAGGAGCCTGGGCTGGGCTTTACTTTGGGGGCTACTTACTTCTTTGGGACTTTTCAGAATCAGACTTCGTGAATGTGGTTCAGTGGAGGGAAGACTAATATGAATTCCCCAAAATAAAACAAAAACAGAATCATGGAATTTCCAACCAAAAGTAATTTTGTCATTTTTGAGGAAAAGGTGAATTCAAATTAAATGTTAGCAGAGGTTTGCTCAAATATAGATCTTGTTGTCCATCTAGTGATTTATTAGAAATGTTTGTAACTTGACTTTCTCTTCAGGTCCTGAGTACTCAAACAACTTCTACTTTTATTTAGTTTAAGTGCTTCTTCTCTTGCATGCTATTCATTTACTCAGCTAAACCTTCCTTCTCTAATTATAAAGACAGATCGTGGGCTGCCCTAAGGCCACAATAACTCCTTATCCATGTTGGCCAGGTAGATGAATAAAAACCCATCCCTGGTTGGTCCTGGACATGGGAACGACACTTCTTGGTGGTGTTTGGAGGAAGGGCATGAGTGGGAGAAAGATCCAGAGGACCTAGGCTACTGTTGGGAATTGCAGGCCAAAAATTTGGTAGGAGGAAAGAAAAACAGGAAAAGGAGGAGAATGGAAAGGGAAAGACAGACTGTGATGAACAAAGCTGCCCATGGCAAGATGAGGTAGAGGGAATAGCAACAGCCCCGCTTGTCTCCACTCTAGTTAGCTCCGAGCAGCACCTGCTCCTGTCTCTTCTCTGCAGGGTCCTCACCCTTTGTAAGGAAGCCCCAGGGCCTGGTTCTGGGGCATCAGAGGGAATCCAGCCATTCCCTGTTTTCCTTTCTAAGACCGAATTTTATTCTGTGTTCTTCTCCACAGCTGGAGAGTCAGAGGGTCCTGCTTGTGGAATTTGAGTCTCCCCTTTTCACAGGCCCCAAGCTGCCAGCCCAGAGGCAGAGTGTGGTCTCAGAAGAAGATGTTATTCAGCTCTCACCATTTGTGGAATATTCACTGCGACCTGGGGACAAGGTGCTGGCAGCATGGGAACCAGGCCGACAGCGGTATGGTCCTGGCATTGTTCTCTTGGGCTCAGAGATTCGAGACAATCAGCCAGGTAAGGGAAGCTGCTCTGACCCATCAGTGTCCAGAGGGAGCCAGGATGGTGATCAGGCCAGAGCTTAGGGGTCTTTGAGCCATTAAAAAAAGAATTCTTATGTCCTCATTTGCTGCTTAACTCTGGGTACCAATAGATACATAATATCGTTTTTGTTTTTGTTTTTGTTTTGGCAGACAGGGTTGCTCTATGTAGTTCAGGCTGGCCTTGAACTTATTATGTAGCCTGAGTTGACCTCAAACTCACGTGATCCTCCTGCCTCAGCCTTCTAAATACTAGGATTACAGCCGTGTGCTACTGGGCTTGGCTCAACAATCATATCCTTCAGATTACAATTTTTTAATCAGGGAAAGTAACCTATAACTACCCTGTCTATGTTGGTTAGTTAAACCACGTATTTAGTTGGTGTTGCACCAGAACTTACCACTGCTCCTTCACCTGGCTCTCTAGGGAAGAACAGTCTTTTCATACAGGGCCAGTCTCCCCACTTGTACTTTACACGATGTTAGGAGGCTTCTACTGAGGGGGGGATTTTGGTTCTGTGTGAAAAACGGACCCCTCCAGCTCATCTTGTTGCCCAGGAGCCAGGGAGGCTGGTGGACCCTGTCAGGATGAGGGGGCTACTGCGGTACAAGGGAGAAGAGAGGAGAGCAGAGGGGCGCAGCTGAGGCCCTGCCTGTGGTGATAGTAGAATCCAAAGATGAGATAATTATAATAAGGTGTTGCCCTTTTCCATTTCATAGCATCAAAGGAGGAGGAAATTACTGTTCACTTCTGGAATGGCAAGACAGCTCAGGTGCCTCTAGGTGGGGTCAGGTGGGTGCCCCCCACTGTCTGGAAGAAGGCCATGGAGAGGCTGAGTAAGCCTCGCACCAGTGAGGACCCCAGTGCCCTCCTCTGTGCCCCTTGCTGCTCTCCGCTGGGGACAGTCACTGGAGGCATCACCAACAGGCTTCCTCCGGACACTGCATTCCTGTGCCCTCCCTGCCATCCCCAGGCCTGCTGCCAGCCGCTGTGCCAGGGCTACTGCTGTCCCCTGATGAGCCCCACCTGGTGGCCTCTCACTGGGACCTCAGATATCACGGCCAGAGAACTCCCGGTGTCAGAGCTGAAGCCCGCAGCACAGCTTTTGCCCCTAGAAGGTCCTAAAGAGGAGGCAGGGGCAGTGCGTGCATCCCTTGCTGTTTCTTCCTCTTCCTCCTCCTCCTCTTGTGAAGAAGATTTGGAGGAGAACCTGGAAATGGGCCTTCCCCAGACACTGATGGTGAACAGCGCAGTCAACACTGACCCCATCCTCCCCAAGAGGCCTTTGGCGCAGAGCGGCCCCCGCCAGCCGGAGTGGAGGTATTGGAAGAGGAACGGACAGGAGCCCCGTCCTGGAAAGCCAGGTAGGCCAAGGGTGAGGGCTTGTCGGCCCAGGAGGGGCTGCTGGCTTCACTTCTGTGTGTTCCTTAGGAATCTGCTGCACCTCCCCATTCAGTTGGCTTGGAGGTATTAATATTTGGAAGGCTGGTGTGGGAAGGGGATACTGAGAAGAGGAAGCGGTCAGTTTCCATTCAAGCTACAAATGAGAGCAAGGATTGGCTGAACTTTGTGCTAAGATTTACATTTAATACCTCTCTTTTTCTCTGGTCTACTGACTGAGCACTGCCATCGTCCACTTTTGCTCCCTGCCTTGTTCCTGGAGTCCTTGATTTGAACAGTTAAAATGCATCCAGGTGTTGATTAGTGTCATCTCCCTGAGAAGCACAGAAACTGGTCCTTAAATACTGGCCACCTGCCCACACTCTCCAGATGGGCACTTTAGTTAATGGGAAAAACTAACTAAAACTAAACTCCTCATTCTTTACAACTAGCAAGGAAGCAGCCACCTCCAAGCTTCTCTCCTTTGATCGAAGGCCTATGGGACATGCCTTGCTTGGGAGAAGCCTATTGATCAGTCCCTCACCCATCTGTGTAAATTCCCAGTGGTGCCTAGAAAGAGCAGGAGGCTGAGTCAGCTGGCAGAGCCAAGCAAAGAGGTGGCCTGAATACACCCAGACCTAGGCTAGATCCTGGGGGTCCAGGGTCACTGACAGGACATTCAGTGAAGGGCAGTGGAGGCAGTCATGCTGCGAACGCTAGGGACACCACTTCTAGGGCTTAAGGGTCTCACACCGGGACCCAACCTGAGTCCTTATTTGAAGCCACTGCCCTATTTCCAGGACAGCTAGGACTGCCCAGCACAAAATTTCAGGGTTGTCCCAGACTTTATTAGTCTTCAGTTCCAGAAAGTTGAAGGATTGTTTCTTTAATTGGGAACTTGGGTGATTTCTGTGGGCCCCTGGGCTTTGGCATGGGTTGGGTGGACATAAGCCTGCTGCAGTTGTATTTCACACAAGGGTTGCAGGGTTTCTCTGGCTTCTAAGGTGTGAGATCTTTCTCCAATCTCTGATTGGGAAACATTAGAGGGACAAGACCCTGTCTGTGGCCAGCTGAGCTCCTCTCTCCAGAAGGAAACTTTGTGTTGAAAATATAAAGTAGAGGGGAAAGACGTTGGGTATCTGTGAAATGGGTCCCGCTGATCTCATGGTCATAGGCTTGGCAGTGGCTATTTAGAAACAGCTGTTTCTTTTATTTTCTTTTTAAAAATTAATTTTATTCTATCCCTTCCCTACCTCAAGCCCCTTCCCTCCCTATGTACAAAAACTTTGTTTCCATTTTTCCTTCTATTTTCACTTTTTTCCTTGTCCATTCCTTCCTTCCTTTCTCCCTCCCTCCTCGTTCCTCCCTTCCCATTTGAACTTTCTAGAAACAGCTGTTTCTGAGATCTGCCTTTCCAACAAGTGATGATATAAAGAGAATTGTGCCCAAATTTAGTTTATTTTTTTATTTATTTTTGAGACAGAGTCTTGCTCTGTAATTCAAGCTGGCCTTGAACTCACTATGTAGCCCAGGCTGGCCTTGAACTTGTGGCAATCTTCCTGCCTCAGTCTCCCAAGTGCTGGGATTATAGCAAATCTAGTTTTCATGCTAACTTTTCCATAGTTTTCATGGCCTCCTGCTTCAGCACAGCCTGGAGATAGAAAAGTTGTACCAGTCCAAGAGAGAGGAGCCTGTGGGAGCAATTGAGACAGCATCAATCCCAGTGTGAGGCAGAGGAACAACAGGGGTAGCCAGGGCCCACGGTGGTCAAACATGGAGTTCCCACTGCTGCAGCTTGCTCCATAGCAATCTCTAAAGTGGTTCCAAACCCTGCTAAGTCCAAACAAATTGTCTCTGGCCCTAAGCATATGATACTCTAATCTCCACTGCCCAAAGCCACTTGGATCCACACTAGGTCATTTTCCCAACACTATATTTAAACAGATCCATTCCAAAGATTTTTCTCAATAAGTTCTGATGATTCAGAGAAATATGGTATCTTCAGGAACTGGATCTTTTGTGACACTCTAGGGAAAGTGTAATTCCAGGGGCTGACCCACAAGCATCACTGGGTGGGGTCCCAGACCATCCCCAGCCCTTGTTGAAGAGGCAGTACAGCCTGTCACAGCAAAGATAGAAGTACAGAAGGCCATGTGTGGACCGGGGATGGAAACAATGGCAAATGACAGCTTATTTTCTTATCTCCAGATTTCCTAGCCTTTTAAGGAAATGTGCTTTGTTTCTCCTAAATATGACTGGTATTTAGATGATAGTTCTGTCAAGTTCTGATGCTTGATAATCTTGAGCTCTGCCCCTCTAGGAGCCTCTTGCGTGTCCTTCTGCCCTGACAACTTTTAGTTCCTTTGAGACAGGGAGTGAGAGGCCACTGATCTTACTGCTAGGGAGTGTGGGCTGCTGGCCTTCATGGTCCCTTCTCACCCACCCTACGATGGGAACAGGATTCAATCTGTAGTTTTAAAGCAAATTTAAGGTATTCCTTCCAGTTTATGTATTTCCTGAGACAGGGCCTGGCTATGTAGTTCAGGCTGGCTTCAAATTCATGGGGATACTTCTGCCTCAGCCTCCCAAGTGCTGCGATTACAGGCATGCTCCACCACGCCCAGTGTACTCCTTTTTAAGATTGTTCCCCTATCCCTCAGAAGTCCCATTTTCTTCTTCTTTCATTTTTTTTTTTTTTGAGAGTGTCACCAAGTTACTAAGTTGCCCAGGTTGGGCTTGAATTTGCAATCTTCCCACCTCACCCTACCAAAGTGCTGGGGTTACAGTTATGCAGCACCATGTCTGGCCTATTTTTCTTTAGCGTTTTAAAACTTGATTTTCCATCAGCATACTGTCTCACTGTGATCAGTATTAGACGTGTTCCTGATAACACTATGAAGGAGTGGAAGCTCCTTTGACTGGTGGGAGCTGGTTACTCTTCTAAGACTTAAATTTGGTTATCAGATAATAACATTTCCCAAAATGCACAATGGCCAGACAAGATCAATAAACCTTATTTCTCTTTAAAAATCAAAAGCAATGCTAGGAGTTTAGAGATACTTAAGAGATCAGTGAGCCTTGATATAGTTCTACTTGTTATCAAGACAAATTCCATCAAAATGGTGGGTGGCACATCCAATGTGACTGATTTTGGGTTTAGGAATAAAATGTCGCAGCATCCAGAAAGATGACAACAAACAAGAGAAAGTACAAACTGCAGTAGTGGGGACTACCAAGAAGCTAGCCCTGAAAGCAACCATGATGCCACTGCAGACCCTGCCAGAGGGAGCTGAATACAGAAAACTGGGTCCAGGTATCATAAGGCATCAGCAGGACAAAAATCTGCCCAACAGGAAAAGCCCTAAGGATCTAGGTAAGGCTGAGAAGGGGCTTAAGGGCTCCTTACATGGTTCTTAGGCCTTCTGGGGGTCACACTCCCTTTGAAAATGCTAAGGCCTGTGGTCTACTTTCCCAGAAATTTGCACATACCCACAGCTTCACATTTAATAAGATTTAGAGAACCCATGTTCAACAGAGGGTTCTTGGAGGGTGGATCTCTGTTTAAATGACCTTTTGCCTTTCGGTGCTGCATATGGGTCTGTTTTACAAGGCCCTCTGTCCATGGGAGTCTGTTCTTGTAGGAATGCTAACATAGCTCTATTTAACTTTGTTTTCATCACATAAAATACTGGCACTTTCCCTAAGACTCACTATGTTCAAAATGGGATGATTCACCAGGCAAATAAACTGGGAGATGCAACAATATTAGTTGGTGGTGTGGCAGCTTAAAGTCTGAGACACATCAGTGACTTCTTCAAAATCAGTGATTTCTGATTCTTAATATTATAGTTAGCATAAGACTCTGAGGAATTTTTTTTTCCCTCTCACAGGAAATGAAAGGATAACAATAGTAAATATTTGAAGAAGGTTACATAGAGCGGCTGACATGGCCTTCAATGCAGAGGTAGCGCACACACCAGAGGTGAGAATCAAATAAACACCTACATCTTCACCCCTTTATGACCTCCCTGCAGATGAGCAGGAGGAAGGCAGCTGCAGGAGCTGGTGGCCCTGTCCCGGCAGTCCTTGCCAAGGGCCTGGTGAGACCACTTGACACCTCTCCCACAGAAGCCAGTGCGTGGTTGGCCAGCTGTGGGAAAATGTGTCCACGGCCTCTGCCATCTTTTCATAAAGCCTACAGTTGTACACGGGGATACTGTATTTCACCTCTTTTGGATACCAATAAAAATGAATTATCTTTGTTTCCAAATCTCTCCCTTTATTATCATAATTAACCTTTACTTAGAAAGCAAGCAGTAAAAACTGTTCAGACTTCATTGTCACATTACTTACAGGCAAATGAGACAGGGACTTCTATCCTCTCAGGTTAACATGGGCACTGAGAGAGACAGATGGCAGTTCCCAGGCTGACCCTCTATGGTCAGAGCTAGAAACAGGATTGATGCATAATTATTAAGAAAATCATATGATGGCTTTAATCTTCTTGCTACTTAAAAAGTGGTGTAGTGACAGTGGCAGCCAACATCATACAGGGAATACCAAGTCCACACTTTGTCCTGAATCAACTGCTACCACGTGAGTCTTCTTGGTCAAGGCATTTGAGGCCACGGTGACAGAATAGGTCCCTGGGTATACTTCTATGTAGAGGTCCTTGGAGATGTTCTCGGCCTGGAAGGAAGAGAGGAAAAGGGCTGTTTAGAGACTATCTCTTTAAGGACACCATGGCACCCCTACTAGACTTCCTTTCCGTGCCAAAGGGATGATGGAATGAAGAGCCCTGATCTCAAGTCTCAGCTTGGTCAACCTCATTAGGTAAGTCTCAGCCTCCACTTATGCTTGTTTATTTCTAAAGCTGTGATAACACCCACCTCACAAATAAGCATATGAACTCTTAAGTGAAATAAATAGAACACACATGTAAATACCGAATAGTTTCTCTGGTGTGAGAAACTGAAAGTGTAAATAAGGACTAAGAGGTATAATAGATAATGTGAAATAGGAAGAAAAGGGGCAAAGGGGAAGGGGAAGTGGGAGGGATAGGGGAAAGGAAAGAAGGGAATGGAATTAATATGAGAAAATGAAAAAAAGGAAACAAAGTCTTTGTAAATAGGGAGGGATGGAGGGGTTGAAGGGAGGGCTGGGCAAGGGTGAAAAGTAAGAGCCAAGAGAGATTATGTAAAGGTGCGTATCTCCAATGATGAATGTCATTAAATTGTACACCTAAAATGTACCAATAAAAGGATATACAAAAAAAAAAACCAAAACAAATAAGCATATGAAAACACTCTGTAAATGCAAATGTGTTATAGGAGCATGAAGGATTATAAGAACACTCTAGTTGGAGTAAGAATTAGGCAGAAGGAAAGACTAATGGTCATTGTTTTGGAGATCAAAAGTAGACAGTGACACTTGTGGGCAGAGATTGGCAGTAAGGGCAAAGTTCCTCAGAAAAATGAGAACCATTCTTTTTAACTGTGCTTTGCTGAATTCATTACTGGGAAGATGAAGCATTTTTCTCCTGAAGCTAAGAACAACAGGAGTGGATGCTCCTGAAGCACCACGTCAGCCGGATGGCAAAAGCCCTCCCTTGGAGGACTGGTTCTCCATGGTGCAAAATACTGGAAGCTGGAGTTAACGGAAAGATTCGTGTTTAGAGCAGAACTGGGCAGAAACCATCCTCCAAGGTAGATGTGGCAGGCAGAGGATGGATCTCAATTCAACTGTTGAAGGGCAAAGTTACAACCAAAAAAGAAACCCAAGGGACAGCTGGGATGCCATCACATGCTTGCTCAGTGCTCAGAAAGAGCCCCAGGCAGAAGGTGCCATTTCTAATGCCACATATGGGAAAAACCCCAAAACTACTAGCTAGCAAATTCCACTAGCAGGAGTAAGTGATAATATTTATACTCAGCTCCCTCCTTGCCTTAGGTAGATTTGAAGCCAATTTTTTTCAAAAACTGCTTTATTTTATATCTTGTCACACCTATTGGTAGTTACTACAAACTTGGAGATCTATTACCATTTAATCAATATGACTACATAAGACAATGTGCAACTATTTATTGGTTGTTAATTGTGTAAATAAACACAAGTAGAAAATATAAGAAAGTATAGCTGAAAGAAATCAGAGCAGCCAACGCTGCTCCATTTGTCTGCATAAAAGGCAACAGCGGGCTAAGACTGGAGTATCAGGAAGACTAGCATTACCGAAGTGAGCAATGATGGAGGTGTCTAAGCCAACTAATTTATATTTGTACTAGAAGCTGAGTGTTCTTGGTGGCTACAAACTCCAGTATAGTCTAAATCCTGGACAAAAACAAAAAAATAAGGAATTTACTGCAGTAACATGCTCAAGTTCCTTTTCTCAGAATTTCAGCCTGTACAAGTTCCAAAAGATTCCGTTTCATAAACTAATGAGTATTTTATCCTAAAAGTGAAAAACTCATCATTACATGTCTTTAGAAACACTTATTAAACATGGCAACCAGTACCTTACAGTATTTTTGAACCTGTCTCACCAAATGTGTATCTTTCAGAATTTCAGCAATGGTTCCACTTTCTAAGGAGGAGGGTAAGGCCCCCTGCTGCTTGAGCAGATGGTGGAATTCCAGCAGGACTCAATGCCAGGCCAGCTGAGCCGTAGGAACTGAGATATGAATACTTCACATTCTTTCCAACCACAACTATGAGTTCAGACACAAAGAGCACGGCTGATGCTTCCAGTGAACGAAGGATAACAAGAAAACATAATTTTGCATTTGACCAAAATTTTGTGCGCCCTCCTTTAGTTGTAAGAACTTAAAAAATACCACAGAGCCAGTTCAAACAGAGAGCCCTGTAATTAACAGGCCAACTGGCTCATGGAGTTGCAATGGTGAAGCCTAGCATATGTGTAGGCCCACACTCACGGGCTGGGACGTCTCTGAATCGGGCTCTGATGTTCGGTAGATGCCTCCCTGATCCAGGAATGTCTTCTCTCTGTCTATTCTCTGAAGAGACAAGTAGAAATACTGATCAGTGCCTAAGCTTTGTATTCTGGATTATAAAGAGAAATTTTCTCCCACTTATTAGAATTGTTTTATACACTTTTTCTAAGTTGGTGCCTACCTTCTTAAAGCTCTTTTTAGTGAATCCTGTTAAGTATTTTAGTCAGATGTTTACCATGATTACTTTTTATTGTTACATGGGCTTTGCCATCAGACAGGTCTGAGTTTACATCCATTCCCTGCTGTTTACTAAGAGGGAGTGACTAACTGCTGAGCTTTGGTTTCCTAGTCTGCACTATGGGAAACTGGGTTTAGGGAAGATTTAAAGTGCAACAGTGATGACACTTTTAACAAGCTCTCAGAAAATTTTCTGTGCTTCTCCTAGGAGTGGGGGTATTGGAAGGGAACAGTGATCAACAAAGCCAATTCTTGAAGTAAGAGGCACTGTTTTACATCTTATGGGGAGAGGGATGACTCTTGCTCATTTGTAACCTCTGAAGGTCAGGTGCACTTAAGAGAGAGCTAAGGCTAGGCTGGAAAAGGGAACCCAGGATGGTGGCTCCCCACATCTGAGGAAGGGTAATAGGGGGTGCTTCCAGCTGTGCTCAGCCCTTGCTCACCTCCAGGTGCTCACCACCCTCACTTTTCCTAAACCCCCTTGCTTTATCACTCCGAGATGGCCCATCAGGTCAGGGAAGTCAGGAGACCAACTTGGGGATCAGACTCTGGACTTAGTTTGCTCTCTTTGAGTACAGTTAGGGAAGTTTAAGAAAAACAAAAACACAAAAAGCCTACTCTTCTCCATAGCCACCAGTGTTTCTAGGCATGGTGGTGGTGCACACCTGCAATCTCAGCTATTCAGAAGGCTGAGTCAGGAGGATTTCAAGTTTGAGGTAAGTCTGGGGAACTTAGTGAGATCTTGTCTCAAAAAATAAAAAGGGCTGGGAAACTAGCTCAGTGGCAGAGCACTTGCCTAGCACATGCAAGGTCTTGAGTTCAATCCTTAGTACCAAACACCAAAACCACAACCAACAAACAAACTCCCAAAACCTACCACTGACACCAACTACTGTTCAACAAGTAGAACCTTCAGCTTCCTCACAATGATGTATAGTAAAAGGCAGGTAAGTTTGCAGTAAGAAGCCTATAACCATTATTTTTGGAAAAAGTATTTTGTGCCGGGGATTTAGCTCAGTGGTACCTTGCCTGCCTCACAAGCGTTAAGGTCCTGTGTTCGATCCCCAGTACCACAAAAAATAAATAAATAATTAATTTAAAAAAGAGAAAGCATTTTGTTAAAATAGATGCCCCCTTTTTGTACGTCCTTTTTAAAAATTAACAAACACATGATAGCAGTACCTCTTAGTAAGATATATAATTATTAAAAATCTCCTTTGCCTCAATACAGAAAAGGATATGTGGAGCTCTTTTAAGCCTGCCCAAGTATTCCACAGCCCAGCTCATATTTTGGACAAACCTGAGCTCCTGCTTGTTGTTGTAAATTGTCTCAGGTTAAGCAATGATACATTTCTGAGGACTGTACTGCTAAGTCACAGATGTCCAAGACAGAGTCCAGCAGGAGCTCCCAAATACAAAGACTTAACCTCAAGTGGCTGCAAGCACAGCGCAGAATGGTGGAAGACACATACCTGACCATACCCTGTGTTGGAGCACACGTGCTGCTGAGACTTCCCTCTGTGATACCGATAGACATGGGTTGCCCCTCCTTCCTCAGGCACTGATGAATAATATTTCTAGAGAAGTAATGTGAAAGATGTGGGGTAGTCTGGTTGAATTTTCAAAAAACAAAACACCTCTCTGATATATGGGCAAAGTATGGTTAAAGAGAGAAGGAGGAGAGCAAAGGTAAACAACCTGTCCTTTCGATAGCCTCTTCAGTCCAGAACAAGACAGCTCACACATCGTGGCTGCAGAGAAGGAACGCATTTGGCATTACTTTGCTGCCATCTGCTGCCTCTGTAGGGCAAGAGCTCTGGCCAGTTTATGGTGGGCAGGCAGGACATCCTCTCATTCCTAGGTTAAATAATTTTCATAACTTTGCTACAATGCCAAATACCAGTACACATGCCCTTTCATTTCCTCCCCTAACAAATTCTGATGAACACTTCCATGTTTACTGTCTTAGACAAGGACACAGGAAGATAAGAGTATCTTTTCTTGAGGTACATCAGGAAACAAAACATAAACCCAAGAGCTCTGCAGCCCTTCTCCCTAGGGTTCCCATGCAAGGGAGTGGTAGGAGAGGTCTCCAAGTTAAGAATACTTCAAAGGGTTGGAAAATGGTTACATTTTTCTTGTCTCTTTCCTTCCTTGACCTTGAAGCTAGCCTTAGATTTGTTCATGATTGTGACTAATGATGAAGACATCACAAGCCTGCTTCTTTTGAACATACTGCAGGGACATTGTCTAAGGCATGTGACTAGAAGAACGAGCAGTCAGAGAAAGTGCTTGAGGTCATGGATCTAATGATACATTTTAGGGGCTGCTTCAAAATCCTGGATTAGGGTCAGGGATTTAGCTCAGTGGTTCCACTGCCTGCCTCGAAAGCACAAGGTCCCGAGTTCAATCCCTGGTACAAAAAAAAAAAAAAA